GTGCCCTTTGGTAGCAGATACAATATTAAACAACAAAATTGGCAAAATCTTGTAAGCACAATGTTTAAAGGGCTGTATCTTGAACACGGTTGCATTGATTTCGAAAAGGTTGGCAGGTTTCGGAAGCCCATTTTTTTTAGAGGTTCCACGACTCACTTGCTTTTTTTGCAGATGGCCCTGTTTACATTATACAGGAGTCGAGCTAAACATACACCTCAAATTATGATAATTGTTCTTTCAAACCTATACAAATTGATCTGTATGCCTTTTGTTTTCTTTGAAAATTGGTTAGATGATACTTTGGGTCAATATATCGGAACGGTTTTTTCATTTTTTGCATTAGAGTTTCCTGAAGAGCCATTTTAGTACCACAATGTTGGAACGACGTGGCCTACGGTTTAATGGATTGTGAAACGTTTTCCCACTGTAAAAGCTCATGTTATGAAAATTATTCGGCTATTTTATTTTTGGAAACTTGAATTTTATCATTATACAGGGGTTGCGAGAAAGTAACCGTGAATTTGCTAAAAATTCTCAAACGGCTGTAGCTTGAAAACAATTTTGCAAGAATGTATAAAAGTTAACTCTTTTATTTTTTTAATGGAAAACTTTGTATCATAAAGGGATAATTAATCGGCTATTTTTGGAAATTAAATTTTTTTCATTATACAGGGATTACCGAAAAGTAAGCTTAAGTTTGCGAAAATTGCTTGAGCGGCGGTAACTTGAGAACGATTTTGGAAATTCATCAGTTTCTCTCGTTTTTCACGACCTTGGGTCCTTATTCTTGAATTGAGAGAAAATTATACTCCCCGGGGAGCTCCCTAATTTTTCTACTCCTTCATAATTTCTCTCGATTTTAAAAAGCTGTATTCTTGAAAATAGGGAGTGGGAAGGAGTGAGAGAAATAGCGAACACTGCTGCCAGATTTTAGTACAAAATTCTCACCAATCACAAATGATGAAAATTGTCAGTATGACACACAGGTGTGACAGCTTTTTGACAAATGCACTTTGTTGTAAATTATTAAGCTTTTTAAATTTATCTGTGGCTTATTTGACAATTCTTAGGCAGGCCATAGACACGAATAGACCACAAGTGTGCAGTGAGTAGTGGGTGAGAAAACCCTCTCTTTATTTAGATTATTTCAAAGGTGAATTTATAGTGTTTACCTATGCATTTAGGTACTAATAAATACCAACATTCTAAATGCTCATCCCAATGAAGCCAAAAAAGAGTGGAATGCTTGGCGCAAGGGTACTTTTCATAAAATATAGTTAAAAACTGCTTTGGAACCTTTTCCTCATTTTCTTTTTTGGGTTAGGCTGGATCGACAAAAAAAAATAGCAGAGCAAAATTGGCTAGGAAAAAAAATAACGAAAAGGTACAGGAGGGCGGCCTCCTGAACCAGTTACTATAGACTATAGATAATTTTGACACTAAAGTTATTGAGGTGCCTGAGCCAGGCATTATTCTTGATAAAGAGGTAATATTTGATAAGATGTTCCCTGCCAACAACCTACTAGCAATGGTAGGATCTGTACAGAATATAAAGGTGAACATTGTTTCAGGAAGGGTTGTAAAATACCTACATATTATCATTATCATTAAAAACATTTACAAGAACTTAAAGCTTTTGCTTAGTTGGTATCAACAGCTAAGTAATAAACATCATGGAAACTCAGATCCCTCCACTGAGCTTGAGAAAAATGAAACTGAAAATACAATGCTCCTGAAATAAAGAATAATGCTATACCCAGAGGCAAACCCAGAGTGAAAAAAACCATGGAATTGAATGAATCTATCAAAAACCCCAGTAAAATTGTGAACATTTTAGAACATGCTCAATAAATGGAACAAGTTGTTAAAGAAAAAAAAATATTTTGCACTAAGTTTAAAGTTACTATTCATTTAGGTAAGAATCCGATACATACCGTTCTGGAAAAAATCAAAGAGAAACGAGATGAGCTAAGAAATCAAACCCATATAATGGAGAATATTTCTGTTTCTTTACTACGCATTGTAGATATCATGAGAGAATCAAGAAGATAGTTTATTTAAGTTCTTTTCTTGTTTTTCTATTAGTTTATCTGCATTATATATATTATTCAGATCCATTATCCAAAAAAAACACATACTTTAACTTTGAAAAAAACTTCTCCGGCAATTTTTTAACGTTTTGTTGTTTGTTTATCTTTATTTCCATTCCCATTTTTAGTTTCTCTCACTTGGGACCAGTAGAAATTGAAATTCCCTGGGAGAAATCTGTCTATCAATTCATGAGAGATTTTTTTTTTCAAGAACACAGTATTTTCAATTTTAGGAATTTTCTCACGTTTTCTACTCCCTAAGATTCAAGAATAAGGCGCCTGGCTTGACTTTTTTTGCATGATATACCCTTTTAGTATACACATATCAAGTATAAAAACGAAATTGAAATTGCCCGAAAATGGTTAATACTGGTGGTTTTGAAATTATGCGAATTGACTTGTTTTCCAAACTTGCTGTTCAAACGTCGAAGCGGTGATTTTACTTCCTCGATTAGTGCTTTTTGGCTACAGATACGCTAGTTTTCCTATATTGTTGGTAATTGTATAGCTTTTTTTTTTTGTAAGTTACAGCCGTTCAAGCATTTTTAGCAAACCTTAATTTACTTTTCGGTAATCCCTGTATAACGCGAAGTTTTCCATTGAAAAAATAAGAGTCATAAAATGAGCTTCCAAAATCGTTGCCACGTTACAGCTGTTTGAGAATTTCTATCAAACTCATGTTTAGTTTTCCGCAACCCCTGTATAATGAGAAAATTTTTATTTCCTAAAATAACCTCCCTGTATGATGCAAAGTTTTTCATTAAAAAAATAACAGAGTTAACTTTCATAAAATAAAGCTTCCAAAATCGTTTTCAAACTACAGCCGTTTGAGAATTTTTACCAAACTCACGTTTACTTTTTCGTAACCCCTGTATAATGTCAAAATTCAAATTTCCCAAAATAGCCGATTAGTTTTCCTAAAATAAGCTTTCATAGTGGGAAAACGTTTCACAATCCATTAAACCGTAAGCCACATCGTTCCAACATTGTGGTGCTAGAATGCCTAGAATGGCTCCTCAGGAAACTCTAATGCAAAAAATGAAAAAATTGTTTCGATATATTGACCCAAAGTATCATCTAACCAATTTTCAAAGAAAACAAAAGGCATACAGTATGTTTACCTCGACCCCTGCATAATGTAAACAGGGCCATCTGCAAAAAAAGCAAATGAGTCGTGGAACCTCTAAAAAAAATGGGCTTTCGAAGCCTGTCAAGCTTTTCGAAATCAATGCAACCTTTTTCAAGATACAGCCCTTTAAACATTGTGCTTACAAGATTTTGCCAACTTTGTTGTTTAATATTGTATCTGCTGCCAAAGGGCACTTATCAAAAAACTGGCAAATACGTCTGGAGATATTGATATTAACTTACTGAAGTCCTATACGGAAATCCGGAAAAAAAAGTATAGTCAATATGGCGGACATTCATACTTTTTGTACTTTTGCATCAATTTATTATTCACCCTGTATAACTTGGAAATGCATTTCTTCAAAAAAAAATATTTTTTTCTACAAACGTGTTAAAAATGCAATTTTTAAAACCCCCCCGAAGCATTAAAAATGTTACTTTATCGCACTAGTGCCATAAAGTCTTTATAGCACTAGTGTTAAAAATGAAACATCAAATTTTGAGAGCGAACGTCAAAAAAAGTTTGTATTTTCAGTTATTTACATTGATTTTAATGGTGAAATTTGAACAACTGAGGTAGCCCGAGTGGCCGCCTCATCTATATTTTTCAAGGGATCGATGCAACCCTCTTTTTCTTCTGTATTTTGTTGCATTTTAAGCAAAAAGCATTACTGACCACGACAGACTTTCAAGAAACTGACAAGACATTTCATTACCTGTAAAACAAGGTGCTGGTTGTTTGGACTTTTTGACAAATGCCAAATTCAGTAATTTTATGTAGGAAAGATGCTTCCAATTTATTATTCATTTAAAAATCCAATTTGTTACTGGTTATTGCTTTTTATGACCGTTTGTAGAAAAAATATTGTATGATATTTGTGTTAAAAGTATTTTTAAGGCACTTATGTGAATTGCAGAATTCGCTTCGCTCATTCTGCAAACTTTCACATGCGTGCCTTAAAAATGTACTTTTAACACTTATATCATAAATAACTATTCTCTCACGTGATCTACAACATGGACTATCGAATACAACAAACCGCGTTAAAAACAAAAATAAAATAAAAAAGCTATTACAAATTGAATATGGTGCTAAAAATTGCTTGTCCCGTTTTTTTTGGCAAGCAGTTTATTTATTAAAATGGTCAAAAAGAGTTTATATGTTTGATAATCCTCATCTTATCCCATGGTGAGTGGTTTAATTGTAACTTCGTTCCAAACCTCAAAAAGTAATACAGAATCACTTCCTTGATCAAAACCACTTCTCAGGAGAGAGAACCAATACCACAGCAATCTTCAAGAATTCACAATTCTTTCAGTATAACAGATGTTTATTACGAATAAACTTGTTCTTCTACAATCACGATTGCTCTGATTGCTCTACTCTCTCAACTAAACATCCAACTAAAGATCACTTTGAAGCTTCTCAAAGCAGCAGCTGACTATAGGTATTACAGAAATTGGAGGTCGTTTGGGAACAGTTCAAAAGCAAAGATTTGATTTTGTAAACATTGTTTTTAGAGACACATTAACCATCGTAAGTGCCTTTTCTGCTCTTTTTTTTTAAATATGAGATGATGTTTTCCATTCAGAGAAGTCCCATAACCCAATGAAAAAAATTACCTCCAATAATCAAAGTCAAAATTTTGAAAAAACCCAAATTGGCCTTATATTAGAAGGGTCCCTTCTTGCGTGCGCATCTTGCTATGCAACTTCCACATACCGTTTTCGGTCGGAAGGAAAACCCGCCGATTCGAATGACCGTTTTCGCATTCGGTCGCCCGGCGCCAAAACGTTCGGAAGCACAACGAGAATCGGTCGTGGTCGTTGGAAGAGTCGCTCGAGAAAAAAAAAGATCGCGAACTCGGCGCCAAAATCAAATTTTGTGACAGCAAAAAAAAATTGTGACTATGTATAGTGACTATCCGGAAACAAGTGTATAGTGATTTTACGGATTATTATTATTATTTTTTTTTTAAAATTGGATTTTATGGAAAGCCTACTTTAGGGAATGGAACCACTACCAACCAATATACTGTCATTCCTGAAAAATAATATATAAAAAATACTTGATTGAAAAAAAAAAAACAAGAATCAAAATGGTTGATATACGTATGGAGCCACCCCCAACTCCAACGCCGAAAAAATCCAAAGGCATATCCATGACGATGGTGAAAAATTGGTTGATGATGTCCGACACGAAGAAACCAGTGGAACCGCCGAAGTTTCAAAAAATGCCAGACAATTTTTTGAGGAGTTTGAGGAGGCGATCGTTAAGGGTGAAGAGGAGCAAGAGTTTTGTGCTGCCTGAGAAACGGAAAAGCGGTAAGGAATATAGTAAAATAATATGAATCCTAATGGAAACTCACAAGCATTACCTATTTCATTTTGATTGATACGAGAGTTTCTTGTTTGAAAATCGTTTACAAGTATTTTTAAATTGAGCCGCTTGATTGGATCGAGTCAACTTCTGAAGTTTATGATACATGCCTAAACTTTTATTATAGATTAAGAATTTTATGAATTATTATGAATTTAGTAAAATTTGATTATGGAAAATAAAGAGTTTGTAGCAGACGAAAAAAAATTTCTTAATAAGTTATTAGAAAAGTTATTAGGTACTTATTGAGAGTTTCTTCTTTCCAAATCATTCGCCTTATTCTGAGATTTTATGATAAACGCATGATTTTTGCACCAATACACCAGAAGGATTTATTATGAAAAATATGTTGACATTGAAGAAATCAAAATCTAAACTTCTTTGGGTCAATTTAGGTTCAAATGTTTCCAGAAATTCAACTCAAAAATTTCAAATAAATCCATCATTGCAATAAACTCTAGAAAATTATGGATATTTTAATACACAATAAAATTTATGGACCAGTTAATCCTTTCAACAATTATCTAAAGTGGATTTTGCTTATAAATCGATAATAAATAACTCCCAGTATTAATTACTGCATAAACGTTATGAGGGGAAACATAAATTTAGTTTTAGCTTTTGCCTCTAAAAGGAAGTAGCCTTCTAAAACTGTTTGACATACTGAAACCATAATTAGAAATATTTATGAGTTTTCTAATGCATTTATGCTAATCGGATGTATTTAAAAATATTATTTCTCTATAGGGGGTGGTTGATGGTTAAATGTTGTAAATGTAAAAGAAAAGGAAAGAAGAAAGCAGCTGGGAAGGAATTGTGTTAACTTAAAGTTTTACAAAAAGAATAATAAGAACCAACATTCTATTATGAAACTACGTATAAGTTGAACAAGTAGTCCATCGTCCATCTCTCAAAGTGGAGTTGAAATTTAATTCAAAAAGAAAACACAAAGTCTTCGTCCACAAAATACTTTAATTAGGCTATAGCACCCTACCTACATGTTTCGAGGCAATTATAGTGAACCTCATCATCAGGGGCAAGTTTGCTCCTATGACACAAAGTAATTAAGGTTGCTAGACTTCGCATTTAGTAGAGGAAAAAAAAAACATCAAAATGTTAAAATCACATTCAACCAGAGAAAACATTAGAGTTAGCACTATTGAATGGATTAATTGTATATAATTTTTAGAAGGAAAATTGAAAAAAATGTGATACATCAAAAAATGTCTCATGATACATAATATTTACCAAATTTCATTAAAATATCTAAAGTAGTGTTACATATACCGGGTGCCCACGAGATTTCTTTCCGGCTGCCATTTTTTTATTTGTTTATCGATATCAACGAAACTTGGTAGGCTTGATATTTTAACGAAACGCCATTTTTATGCATTTAGGACAATTTTTCCTGACTTCCGGTTTAACCGGAAATGACCGAAACTTTTGATTTTCAAATGGCACACCCTGTATATTTTTTGTTTTTTGGATTATACAGATCGTTTAACGTCTGTACCACTTTTAAATTGAGTTTTGTCCAAATTTCGTTTTCAAAATTAAATTTTAAGTAGAAAAAAGAAATTACCTACATAAAAAAACAGAAATATTTGAACGAAAATTAAGAAAAATGTCGTAGTGTATTATATCGTTGGATTCGCTTTAAAAAACTGCATTTAGTAGTGTTGTGAAAGTGATATGTTTCTATTCTAGTTTTTGAGCTAGGGCAAAAATACCAAAATAATGAAGTTTACAGCCCTCTATCAGAAAAGTTTACAAAGATAAAATTGAGTTTGTATTTTTCTGAACTTAAGTAAAGTATGTAGACTTATTTTAGGATGATCGTGGCACTCAAGTTAAAAAATTAAAATTTAATTTAAAAACAAAATTTGGGCAAAACTCGATTCAAAAATTGTGCATTAGGACGTAAAATGACCTGTAGAATCCGAAAAACAAAAAATATACAGGGTGTGCCATTCAAAAATCAAAAGTTCCGGTCATTTCCGGTGGAACCGGAAGTCAGGAAAACTTGTCATAAATGCATAAAAATGGCGTTTGGATAGAATATCAACCCTACCAAGTTTCGTTGATATTAATGGACAAATAAAAAAATGGCAGCCGGAAAGTGATCTCGTGGGCACCCGGTATACTATGTGACAAAAAAAAACGCATCACTCACTCACAAACTAAGTAACAAAAAAAATACATCTCCCACCAAAAATGTATATTTTTTGAACAAATTTTTTTGGTCTTGGCCAAAACTAACGTATGTAGAAAATTTGTTAAAAAAATATATAATTTTCATGGGTGATGCGTTTTTTTTGTCATTCAGTATATTTTCAATACATAATAAATTATTTATTTTTGAACTCCTTATCACCCTGTATCTCAAAACTTAAGACATTCGTCACAAAAATCGCCTCCTTAAATATTGACATTCAATCAGAAAACATCCTGTATAAGAGTAATTACGTTTGATCCTTAGTAGATTTACTAAGGATGCATAATAGTTATTTACATTACAAGTGCGTTTATGAACTTGATTACAATAACGAGTGTGAAAGATTAGAACGACGAGGTCGTAGACCGAGTCGTTCTAATCACACGAGTTTTGTAGTCATGTTCAATCACACGTGTGATGTACAACGTTTTATCTACAAAGCGATAAATAAGAATTTGTTTTCAATTATTTTCGTTAGTTATAGTTGTCTACCTTTATTTTACATTTACAGGTCTAACTTTGATATTTGTCAAATCACCAAAAATAGTTGTGTTATAGATTCATAACCTAGTTCATAACACCACTAGTTGTGTTATGAATTCATAACCTAATCTTTAACACCACTGGTTGTGTTATGAATCTCATGACATAACTCAAACACTAGAAAAATGGTTATGTAAAAACGTCATAGCCGAACGCTTGTGAATAATAGTTATTTACATTACAAGTTCGTTTATGAACAGTATTACAATAACGAGTGTGAGAGATTAATCACACGAGTTTTGTAGTCATGTTTAAACGCACGTGTGATGTACAACGTTTTATCTACAAAGCGAAAAATATAGGAATTTTTTTCAATTATTTTCGTTTATTAGTCGTTGTCTATTTTCATCTTACTTTTACAGGTTTAACTTTGACATTTGTCAAATCACCAAAAATAGTTGTGTTATGAATTCATAACCTAAGGTGTTTTCCAGTGACCCATTTGAGTTACTCCTGAGCAGCTCAGGAGTGCTCCACAATTACTTTGCGCTTTCTACACTTGAACTACTCATTTCTGTTATCCCCTGCCCCCTCGTGCACCAGCCTTTATTTCGGTGTTCCATGCTCTTGAAGTCCGAAATGGCGGGGGTTAATAGCGATTTCCATTTGTCAAACCAGTGCAAAAAAAATGTATCCTTATCCTTGCATGTTACATGCTTTTAGAGAAAGATGCGAATACATTCAGAGCGCACTGATTGACAAATAGAATTCGCCATAAGACGAAAGTGTTCCAGTGCTGCTTATGTCGAACAGTTCAAGAGCGTGACACTCCAGGAGCATGATACTCTAACATTTTAGGCACTGGAAAGCAGCTCTTGTCTATAAGACCACTAGTTGTGTTATGAATTCATAACCTAGTCCATAACACCACTGTTCTGTTATAGGTCTCATGACATAACTCAAATACGGTATCCGCCAAAATAAATAGTACCTACCGAAATCTAGAGCTCTGAGTAATTGCGCACGCAAGTTGCATTTATCATATTTCGCTTACTTGGCATTAGTTATGAGGTTGACATTAAGTTAAGGTTAAAATCTTCATTATGTATGTTTCTACTTAAGAAACAGTTTTCTTAGTAGAGCACTATTTCCGGTCATACGGATTTGGAAGAAATAACGGCTCAAGTTTGAAACAAGTCTCAGAAAAATTTCCGCTCTTAATAAATATTTTCAATGATTTGCAGAATCGTTATGAAGCTTTTTTGCGTCTCTATGATGCATTTTTTGAACATACAGGGTGGAAAATTAAAAAGGATCCACCTGGATTTTCTCGAAAATTATCAGGGAATTTAAAAAACGCGGAAATACGTCGATTTTGTTTGCAAGGGGGACACTTTTTGGCTATTTCAAAAATTTCCTAGATTGCACCCCCTTACCGGGGTGAGTTGCACCCTCAAAACTTGAATAGCGAAACTGGGTCGAGTGATACTTTGTTTGACAGGTATTTGAGATAACTTTACAGATCTGTAATTTATTTCGAAATCTGACTACTAGTTTTCAAGATATTCGTCTCGGAAGTTGCCATGGGGCGAAAAGAGAACGTGTTTTTCGTACATTTCTACAAGAAAAAATTGAAATTCCTGAAACACGGCAGTTTTTTTTATTTTGAACCTTTGTTTATTTGTTAGTTTGAACCTTTTGAATAACCTTTCAAACACTGGCGTAACTAGCCATCTGACCTGGGGGGGGCCTAGGGTGGGCCTGACAGAGGCGCCGATTTTTGAAAGTCCTCTTAGGTGCAGGATAATATTTTTATAAATTTGTTTATGGGGGGAGGGGGAGAAATATTTTTTTCCAGATGCCACGCCCAAAAATGTCTATTTTATAGTGTAGGTATATGTTTTTCTATTTTTTTCTACGAGCGTGCGAAAAATGCTTTTTCTACACGCATTCCACGGCATTAAAATATCACATCATTAGGTTCGTTCCAACCCAGCCAAAAACCGTTCAATGTACGGTCACGGTCATGCGCCATAGGTTGAACGCGTTCCAACCGAGAGACGATCGTTTACCGTACAGTTTCGTTGGCGTTCCAACCAAACCTGGGATCGTTCGAGAACTGGTTTTAGCACCGTCATTTCGATCCCGAGTGGAAAGCAAGAACCGCGTGGACTGATCCATGACTGACATGCGTAATTCAATTTTTGTCACCTGTTGTTGTCGTTCATGTTGTAGTTAAACAACCAA